CAAGCCCAAGCTTGATTTCTTGGGTGACAGTTTTAATTTCAGTTAAAAGTTTCATTTTAGGCTGAAGAGCCCTCACCTCTCTCAACAGGTGTTGTTCAGGGGCTCTCCAGCAAAAGATAAAATTAGAATTTCTGGGGGAGGTCTCTCCTCTGGTCCTTTTCGTTCTAAAACCTTCTCCCTCCAGGAGCTACAATTTCATAGAGCTAATCTTTCGGTTCCTGATAGCATACAGTTGACATTTTCCCGTCAGCATTGCTGCCACCCTCGGCCTTGTGCCAATCATAGACATGGGAAGTGAATCGCTCACAGACTGCAGCTACTTTTATTGTGGAAAATTTCAAGTATATGGAAAGCAAAGATGATCATATCATGAAGCATCATACACTCACAGTCCATACTCAACTAATGCCAACTCAGGACCCTGGTTATCTGTATGCTGTTCTACCTGTCAATTCAATCCATGTCTTTTCAGGGCAAACTGTTGTGAGTTGACCTCATCTATCCCAGAAACGAGGCAGAAGCAGGCTCTTAAAAGCTGTGGAATCTTTACTCACCAGCTGACACTGACCGGTGGATTGTCTGGTACCACTGCATGTGGAAGAGAAGAGCAGCCTGGATCGGCTGTATTCAGGAGTTTTTAAAGCAATGACCATGCAACTAAGAGAACACTGGCACAGGATACAAATCGTTGAATCAGCCCAGCTTTCATCACTGCACAGTACAGATTATTGGATCGACTGCAATGGCATGAAACATAGACACCTAATCAGTTTAAGCATCATGCAGTCTCAACTATCCAGTCAGTAAGAGTCCCATGCTATCCAGCAGTGAACCACAGAACCAGGCAAACAGGTCCTTCCAATTGCATGTGCAGAAGCCAGTTGGGGGCAATCAGCTTACCATGTAAGCTGTAAAAGCAAAGCAAGATCTCATGCTGGAATGTGATATTTTCTTGTGAGAAGTATTCTTGCTCCTTTCCAGAACTTTCTGAGGGTCTGAAGTTATACACACATTCTGGAAATATTTCAGGACCTTTAGCCTTACTGTCACCACTTTCTATTGTCTGGGCTATCATAAAAATCCCAGGCATTTTGTCCTATCTTTTGTAAGGTGTTCAAAGATAATACGACACACATACTCAATTCTTCACTTTTATTATAAGAATACTTATTTGAGTACTTCACTTCTCAAATGCCCCAAGGGCACAGGTGAGCCAGGCTGAAGCTTTGTGCGTGGCAGGGACCTAATCATTATCCAGCCTCCCTGCCTATCAAGACACACATTCGCATAAAGCTGGAGTCAGAAGTGGAATTGGGGCTTGAGCACAGGCACTGCAACGTGGGAATCCCAACTGGCGTCTCAATCAGGTTGGCAAACACTCACCCCAATACTTGCAGAGCAGTCTCATGCAATCAGCAAAGCAGTGGCAAGTAGGGCATTCCCATACGCCCCTTTCCCCTACTCATCCCAAGCTCCCTGCTTCCATATCCTACCATCAACATCCTGTTAACACCCGCCTTTGCATTCCACAGGCTGCAGTCTTGGCTGCCCACATCCAATGGGCTTTAGTAAGTGGACAACAGCATGCATCCACTATTGTGTGGTATTACACAGTCCTAAACAGCCTATTCTCTCCCTCTTCTTCCCTCTTTGCCTTCTAGCCCCAAGAACTCATCTCCATACATTCACCTCTTCCAGAATGTCATATAGCCGGAGTCACATCCTATACACCTGCTCATGCTTTCTTTCACTTAGTAACAGCATTTCCAGTTCCTCTGTCTTTTCACAGTTGTACTTCTTGTCAGTGATGCATAATACCCCAATGTGGGATGTACCACAGTCTATCCATTTGTTTATTAAAAGAAGTCTTTGTGGCTTCCAAGCGTTGTGCTGTAAAAATCAACATTAAAATCAAAGTCTTTCAGATTTTCTCCAGTGTTGTCTTCAGGAGTTTAATAGCCTTTTGTTTGTGTTTTTACTTCACACTTAAATCTCTGATCCATTTCTAGTTCATTGCAGACAATGTGAGATCTGAGTCTAGACATGTTTTTGTTTTATGCATGTGGCTGTCCAGTTTCCCAGAACCATCTGTTGAACAGTCCTTCTTGGAGAGACACGTCCAAACCAGGGGCATGCACGGCTTATCCCTCTAAACCAGCAGCAGGAAGTAGCTACAGAAAATGAGGTAAACTAACATCCTTTAGCATCCCTTAGGAACTGGGGTTGGAATGAAAAGGGACAAGCAAGTAGTAAGCTTAACCTCTGGAATTGGAACACCTCCCCCGTCTTATGTGATACAGTCTGCCTAACTTGTCAACCAAATGACCCCTTCCCCAGGTCGAGCTCCCTCTCACCTGGGACTGGCGGCTGCTATCATGTAACCACTCCCCTTCCCGAGCTCACAGCAAGCCAACGTGCACACAAGAAAAAAGCAGAACCAGCTCTCTTGTCCCTTTCCCCTCCTTGTCCACTCTACCCCTGAAAGTGTTTCTGGGATTTCCTCACTGTTTAAATAAGTGTTACAAAAAGGAGAAGTCCACCCTTTCCTCATTGTATGGTCTTTGCTACTTTGTCAAACAGCACTTGGATGTACCCAGGTGGGGCTAATCCTGGGCTACAGGATTCAGTTTATACATTTGGTTGTTCTGTCCACACTGCAATGGCTTGTAAGGGCAGCTTTATCATGATGGTCTACATGGCATGCTATCATTACATTTATAAAGAGTTAAAAGACAGTAACATAAAAAAACACCACGTAACATGGTTGACATACAAAACATGAGGGTACTTCAGAAACTTCACGGATAATGTCACTAAAAGGCAAGTTCACTTTGGTGCCAAACAACTTTGAAATCCAGTCATATAAGGAAGGGATCATCAAAAAGTTCATGGAAACACACAGAGAAATTTGTATTTCAAAGAAAATTTTGCACCAAAATGAAATTATGCTGAGAAAGAGTCCAATCAACCCTCTACTAGTTTACTCACTCCCTAAATGGCTGCAACAGCTGGGAATGGGCCAGGCTGAAGCCAGGAGCCAGGAGCTCCATCCTGGTCTCCCACACGGGTGGCAGAAATTCAGGCAGTTAAGCCATCATCCGCTGCTTCCGTAGGCATTAGCAGCATTTTAAGTGAGTGGCACGTGCAGCAGCCGAGAAGTGAGTATCCCAAGCATCGGGGTTGAACCTGCCGTGTGCCATGAGTACATCCCATAATTCCATTTTTTCACACGTTCTTTAAAGTGACCCCATAGTAATTATCCCTTAATATCATCAGTACTACTTACATGTTGTTAAAAACATTCCATCTTTTCCAGTTTTTAAACTAATTAATTACTGGACCATGCAGCATCAACACAGCATCCATGCGATGCAGTCAGTGGATGAATTTGTCATTTATCACCCAGGATTCTCTCCAGGAGTTCTTATTTTGCTTTTTTTTTTTTTATATCTTCCTTGCGATTTATTTAGTTTTTAAAATGTAGATATTACAGAGAGAGGAGGAGAGACGTACAAATCTTCCACTTGCTGGTTCACTCCCCAAATAGCCACAGTGGCAGGGAGTTAGGCTAGGAGCCAGGAGCTTTCTCCAGGGCTCCCATGTGAGTGCAGGGGCCCAAGGACTAGGGGCACCCCCTCACTGCTTTCCCAGGTGCATTAGCAGGGAGCTGGATCAGAAGCAGAGCAGCTGGGACCTGAACTGGTACCCTTTTGGAATGCCCCATGCCACAGGCAGAAGCTTAACCTAGTCAACCTTGATGCCAGCCCCTTCCCCTTGATGAGGGGCAAAAAAAAAAAAAAGCAGCTGTTGGCTTTGGTTTCTAGAGATGATGATTTTGCTGATTGTCCACTGATGTGTATTTTCTATAAACTGTCAATAGACTTCACATTCAAATGTGCCTTTTGGGAAGAGTCCCTCATCAGGGTGGAAAAAGAGGCGTTTCCTGCGATGCTGACCCAGTACCTTTGGCACGCCGGATGAAAGCGGCTCTGTGGCCTCCCTCTGCTGATGTTCCCTCTGATCTTTAAACGTGGGAAACGACCAGAGCGGACCACGTACCTGAAGAACGCGGGCACTTCGGGTGTCATGATCAAACCAACACAATGCTAACTACGTCAACTCTGATAGGTGGCGTTAGTCTTTCTACAACAGCGCATGCGTGTGCTCTCTATGTAGAGCATGCATGGGGACGGTTCGCCACACTCGCGGGGAGGCTGAGTGTTTGGAGCCTCTACACCTGCTCTCCGTCTTCCTGCTAATGGCATCCGGGGATGACCCTAGGACCTGGGTACCTGCACCCACATGAGAGAACCAGTCAAAGTTCCTGACTCCCGGCTTCAGCCTGATCCACCCCTGGCTGGCTGTGGTGGGCATTTGGGGAGTGAACCAGCCAATCGGAGCTCTCCTTCTGTCTGCTTTTCAAAAAACACATTTGTGGTCTGAACCCCAACACTCAGTCTGCAGGCTGTGTGAGAACTAGCCACGCTGTCACAGGTTTCCTCTTCATTGCGCAGGATCCTCCCCAGTTCCCAGAAGCCCAAGCTCCAATGAGGGCAATGAGGCTGGGGTGCAGTAGCTCCAGATGAAAGCTGGGCCACCATCCTGTGCAAACGGCCTCCAATCCTCCTTCTCCCACTTAGCTCTGAAGGGCAGAGAGCGGCTGGTTCCTCGCTCAGCACGAAGCTTCTCTACAACATCCGGCTGGAGCCAGAGAAGTGACTGCAATGCCGCAATGGGGCATTCTAGGAAAATGCCCACCACGACACCCTGACAAGCCCAGAGTCACTGAGCCCCAGCTCAGAGCTGACAGAAAGGGCCCCACTGCTGCCTATGACGACATCCAAATGTGTATCCACCAGAAAGGTGAAGAAAGCTCATGGGCTTTTTGGTTTGTTTTTTAAAGATTTATTTCAAAAGCAGAGTCACAGAGAGAACAAGAAACACACACATAGAGCTTCCATCTGCTGGTTCCCTTCTCAGAAGGCGGCAATGTCCTGGCTCAGGCTGAAACCAGGAGCCTGGCACTCCACGCAGGTCTCCCATGGAGGCCAGCTGCCGTCATTTTCCCAGGCATGTTAGCAGGGAGCCGGATCAGAAGTATGGCCGAGACCTGTGCTGGTGCTCCCAGGGGATGTCGGCAGTCCAACCCACTGTGCCACAATGCCGGTCCAGGGGCGTTCCACCTGATACATTAGAGGAGTAACACACATTAGACTACATAAACAGAAAAAGTCTTGTAAAGGAACATTCATATTAATCCAGAGAAATAAGAAATAGAATAGAAATAAGAAATAAGAAATAGCTAAGCTGCTTAGGAGGATCATATCCACATAGGTGCCAGTTCGAGTCCCGGCTATTCCATTTTCAATCCAGTTCCCTGTTTGTGGCCTGGGAACGCAGTGGAGGATGGCCCAAGCGCATGGGGCTCTGCATTCATGTGAGACATCCAGAAAGAAGCTCCTAGCTCCCAGCTTCAGATGTGCTCAGCTTTGGCAGCTGTGGCCATTTCAGGAGTGAACCAGTGAATGGAAGAGCTCTCTGTTTCTCCTTTTCTCAAAAAAAAAAGAAAAGAAAAGAAAAGAAAAGCAGCCTGTAAGTCCTGGCCTGTAGCTGTGTAATGATATTGGACATATTAAATAAAATATAGTTGATTTTAATTAGAAACCTAACTTAAAAAAAATATAAAAGGTTGCAACATACAGCTTTGCAGAAAGCAGTAACAGACTATGCTGCAGTATATGGTCAAAACAGAGACATGGACTAGCAGCTTGTACCAGTCCAGACGTAAGCTGCATCACTTTCTGATCTAGCCCCTGTAAAAAAAACTGCAGGCAAGGACCAGGAAGAGGGGAGCGTGTTGGGGAGCCATACCTCGGCCAGCGTGCTTCTCTGCAACCCTCGAATCATTTCTAGAACACACCACTTTCATGGTACACTGATACAGAAAGTCTTAGTAAAAACCAAATTATTGCTCCTGGGCCTCAGGCCCTGTAGTGAGGCCAACTTCCACAAGTGCACAGGAAGCCAGGTGGACCCCAGGCGGGCACAGACGCGGCAGCCCTGGAACGCTGGCTTCGGAAGCAAGTGCCTGCAGGAACACCCTGGGTCTTCTTGGCTGAGCTGGTTTCCAAGCCCTGCCTTCTGAGGTCACATTCATACCCATCTTCTCTTAACCACGAAATGCAGCTGCTGAAGTTTGAGTAGGCCCTTGAAACCCCCTTCTTCCAAGAAGTGCCCCCTGACTTGTAGGAAGAGCGACTTGGAGCTGCCCCATTTGGTTACGGGGTTTTACCCTCTGCTGTGTGTGCTTTCTGCGAATTGCTTCCCGCAGCGAGAGGGATGGCAGAGAGTGCATCTGGGAGCGCGGGGTGGTGGCTGGGGGCTGTGTGAAGGCAGAACATGAGTGGGAATGGGGTCCCCTCACCTCCACACTCAGCAGCCCGCTAGTCTGTCTACATGCCCCAGGCTGGCCATCTGCCAGACACACGCAGGGATAACCCGGGGTGGGGAGAGCAGGGCTGGTGCGTGTGGATCAAGCAAGGCAGCTTAGTGCAGTGCTGAGCTCATGGGTGAGCCCCAGCAAACACAATCAGCAGGAGAGCTGACAAGGACCCCGGGCACTGATCTGACAAAGACAAGGTAACCGACTCCAGGCATTTATTTCGAATGTTAGAGTCAGAATTACAAAAAAGTTACATAGCAGACAAAAATGTTAAATATAGCTATGGGGAAAAGTTAATTACACTGTACAGTGAAGATGGCTTTCTTGGCTGAAAGCACTGCACCAGATACAGAAAATACCACCCACACGCAGGGTCACAGCGCTAGCTCAGCGTAGAAGTGATGGCCGCATGCTGAGGAGACGCCAGTCTGTTTCCTGACAGCTTTATCAAGCACATACGTAAAAGGTTCAAACTTCGACCTCCTGTACCCCATGCAAGAAGGAGCAAGCATAATACTCAGCGTACAGTACTATCGCAGGCTCTGAAATTTGCTAGTATTTTTAATACCAGCATTCATATTCTAACTTTTTAATTGCTGAAATTAATAAAGGCGTTTTAATTTGGAGACTTGCTATTTCTTGCAGGATATAAGGTTTTCTAGGACCCTGTAGGCACACCAAAAGAGTTTCTCTACCCACTGGTGTAAAATGAGGAAGCGCTGGGCCCAGAGCGGTAGCTTAGTGGCTAAAGTCCTCAACTTATACATGCCAGGATCTTATATGGGCGCCGGTTCTAATCCTGGAAGCCACGCTTCCCATCCAGCTCCCAGCTCCCTGCTTGTGGCCTGACAAAGCAATCGAGGATGGCCCAAAGCCTTGGGACCCTGCACCTGCATGGGAGACCCGGAAGATCTCTGGGTTCCTGGCTTTGGATGAGTGCAGCTCCGGCCATGTTGGCCGCTTGGGGAGTAAATCATCAGATGGAAGATCTTCTCTGTCTCTCCTCCTTTCCGCATATCTGACTTTCCAATAAAAATTAAAAACAAAATCTTAAAAAAAACTGTGCAAGCGCTGACGAACAGACTCGGACAGCGCTGTATAGAGCACGCTCAGGGCTTGAGGCAAGGGTCTGGCAGGGCGAGGTGGAAGGCGCTTCTTCTTGAGCAGCCACAGGGACTTGCTGTGTGGCCTGCAGACCAGGCCAGCAGTAACCCAGGGCCTCTATAACCTCCAGAAAACACGGACCACACACAGTAGCCAGAGTGAGCTACTTCCAAAGATAGCGAGGGGAGAGAGAGAGAGAGAGAGCGAGCCTACTGCCCCAAGGAGGGCCGATGGCACCCACAGCAGTGACCACGGTGTCTGTGACACAGCTTCTGGTGTACACACTGCCAGCGTGGTAAACAATGCTCGGTCCCTGGGGACCAGTGACACGCTTAAGTGAGTTGACGCGACTGGAGAAGGCGGGCAGAACCAGTGACACAGCAAAGGGCCTGGGTACTCAGTGCTGTGACCCATGAAAATGACACGGCACAAAGTCAGCAGCGGAAAGCACTCTTACACGGATTCCACGAATTATCCTAAAAAATCCTGTTTTGGGGGCAGCACTGTGTACAGTGGGATAAGCCGGTGTAGCTGGTATCCCATATGAGCACGTGTCAAGCCCTGGCTGTTCCACTTCCGATCCAGCTGCCTGCTAATCACCCGGGAAAGCAGCAGAAGGCAGCAACCCACGTGGTACCTGGGTGGCATTCCAGGGTCAAGGTGGTCGAGACAGCAGATAGCAGATCTTCTGTCTTGCTCTCCCTGCCTTTTAAGTCTTAAACTTCACATCCCTCTTCTCAGTCTCTCCCTAAGTTGGGAAAGCGGCTGAGGTGGGAAGTCTAATGAATGAGCCACTGGGAGATGCTGTGGTGTCTGCCTTGGGTCTCTCCAAATCCTGGCTGAGAAGCCACTGCCCCGCGCCAGGCCTCTCCTGTGGCTATGAACAAAGATACAGGGTACAACAGCCGCGCCGCACCCCCCCCCCACCAGGAATCCATCTAACTGGTCCAACAGCAAAGGACACACTGACACTGCCCGGGCTTCTCAAGTAAGGTGATTTGGGTTGAAATATGTTTGTAAGCTGGCAAGTTGGGGGGACAAAAGAGAGAAAGAGGCTGCAAACGCAGTGCTTTCATGCAACGGGAGTAATTGCTTTTACTTCACAGCATCTGTGGGTCCTGCCCTTCTCTTGCCAGTCTAGGTCTTCATCGTGGCTGGAGCAGCAGCCTGGAAACAGGTGAGCTGCAGGTGCATGCTGCTTTTGAACTTGTTGAGCAGCTCCTCCAGGAACCTACAGGGAGAGACATGGTTACCAGGCTGGCGGGAGGAGGGCCCAGAGGCCCGAGGGTGGACAGGGACACACACACACACACACACACACACACACAAGGGAGCTGTCTTGCAGCTAAGAATTCCACTGTCTATTGATTCTGAAGCTGGTGATCAGGTTCAGGAGAGGCCGATCGGAGATGCCGGGCCAAGAGGAGCATCTGAGTGCACCTGTCTTTTGTTCACACATCAGTGAAGGAAAGCCTCCTCCCTGCCCTGCCCACACCCCACACGAGGCCCCAGCAGAAGTGTCACGGAACCTGGGATTCGCCCATGCTGCTCTGTCTGCAGCGCCCGCTCCCTGTGGCCCCTCCTGCAGGCACACAGGGCATTTTCCATTCCTCTAACTGCATCTTGACTTTGGTTTGCAATCTGACAACTATTGGAGAATGGCGAGCCTAGTGGTGAGCTCAGGGTGAGCTCTGACCCCACTGGGCTACTCCACACTGCTTCTCCAAACTGGCTGTGTGTGACCCACCAGTGCTTGAGCCAGAAGGGGCTTCAGGGTTCCACTTGCTTAGGCAAAACCTGCAGGCGCCGGGCTAGGGAAGCAGCCCCCAGAGGGACTCAGGCCTCCACGCCGCGCTGCATGCAGGACAAGTGAGGGAGTGCTTTGGTTCACTTTCTCTTCTAAATTAAATTTCTTTCAAAGGAACAAATGGTTTCAGAACTGGCCTGGCTACAGATTACAATTCCATGGGAGAAGGAAGTAGAGAAAGGGCAGACACAGCTGTTGGCATGGGCACTGCCCATACAGTTATCTGCTTGCCCACTGGCATTGGATAAGCAAGGGAGCTGCTGTGTGTTGGGCCCTGCCAGCGCCAACATCCCCGGTGGCATTTCCTCCTGTCAGCTGGCCACAGGCACTTTTGCTGTGCCCCCAAGGGCAGCAGCCAGCACCCACACGTCTTGCGAAGACCAGGCACCAAGCAGGTTTGTCTGGGGATTGACTAGCAGAGGTGGGGGCTGGAGACGCTTACAGGGTTTCCGCCACCTTGGGGACGTGGGGCTGGGCATTTTTCCTGGCTGCCTGGCCTGCTTTTTCTCTTGGGTCAGAACTTCCTGTTTTGTGAGTTAGATGATTAGAGTCTGAGGTCACTGGGCATGTGGGAGGGTGGCACAGCAGGTGCACACACACTCTTCCCCAGCTCTGATCTGTGAGAGAGCGCGGACGGCCATCACCGTCGTGGAGCCTTCGTCCTTCATCTTCTCAGTGGTCGTGATGGTGCCAGGGTGCTCCGAAGAGCTCCTGAAACAGCACTAGGAGCTACACTAACTTTGCTACTAAATACCTTGAGATCTATGCAACATGCATTTCCATAAGTTCTCTGGTGACGTTCCGTCTGGTTTGCTAAGTCACAATAAGCTGTCTTGGGCTGGTTGCAATAAGCCAAGAACACAATTTCTAAGAGGGTCCCAAAACCCAGAAGAAGAAAGCCATGTGTCACCTTAGTCTGTCACTGGGAGACAGGCAAGGTGTGGGTGCCAGGTACACACACAGGAGGGCTCTCCCCCTGCAGCCCAGCCACTCTCTTGTCTGTAAGCACTCGCTCTGCATGCCACGCCAGCTCTCCAGAAGAGGCACACAACTCACTTTTTATCTGCTCCGCTGGCAAGCTGAGGCAGGGCTTCCAGGGCTTGCTTGAAACTGGACCTGCAACGGGAACCACACTGAAGAGGGCTGACACAGTCCCAGGGAAACCGAGACAGTGGCAGCCCCCACACACACTAACAGAACAGCTCACATGTGTGAGCAGAGACTGGGGATCCAAGGGATAGGAGATACAAGAACCAAAGTCAAGATGAGAAAGCTACAGCGAGGGGAAATGTCTGAGTGAGGGTGTGGCTTCTAGACAGGGCCTCGGGCAGGAGTGGGCCAGAGCGGTGGGGATGAGGACAGCAAGCCTGAGTCCGGCCACAGGAGCCTGCTCAGGAGAAGGGCTCTCAGCACGAGTGTGCGGTGAGAGCAACACGGAGCCCAAAGGCAAGCCCAGCTAAAGGGCCTGGGGCAGAGTGAATGCTAACTGGGTATGTACAGAAGTGACGCATGCAGCGCAGGGAGTTCTGCCGGGGTCTTAACATCCACCGAACAGGGTCTTTGTGATATTCAGCTATTGCATTTAAAACTTGTAGGGGAAATGGAGAGACGTGCGTCTCCTAAAAACTTCTCAGCATCATTTTTCCAGAGGACAAAAGGTTAGGGGAACATTGTGGCACAGACATGAAGCAGCAGCCCACAGTGTCCCGTATGGACACTAACTGGTGTTCTGGATGTTCCACTTCTGAGGCAGCTCCCTGCTGCAGGCCTGGGGAAGCAGCCGAGGGCGCTCCATGTGCCTGGGCATTGTACCCTGGGAGACCCAGAAAAAGCTCCTGACTCTTGGCTTTGGCCGGGTCTAGCCCTGGCCATTGAGGCCATTTGGGGAGTAAATCAAAGAATGGAAGATCTTTCTCTTTGACTCTGCCTTTCAAAGCAATAAAAAATAAATGTTAAAATAAAATGTATATACTCTTCAGTCTATCAGCAAACGTTTTTGAGCAATATTTCTCAAACTGATGGGAGTCATGGCAATGGAGACTAACCGGTCCCAACAAAACCCTAACAGTTGGTGCTGGCTTCTTGCGTTGTTTACTCATGCGGGAGAGGGGCATGGCCTTTGGTTTCCTAAGGTCAAGGTTGTGGGGAGGATATCTAGACAGGCAGACTGGGTGCTCCCCACTTGCTATCCAGCCCCCAGGGCTGGTCCAGTGATAGGCATGGCGGACACCTAGAAATGACTCCTGGGAAGCCACCATCCTTCCTTCTGTCACGGAAGGGGTCAGCGTGCAGCATGATGGGGATGAATGGAAACATGCGTGGCAGCCTTCAACATCCTACTGGCACCGTCCCGGGCCTCATGGGCACGTTCATAGTGGAACTCAGCACTTCCTCGCAGACCCGGCCAGCGCAGTAAACAATTCTGAGTAGGCAAACAGGAGTTCTGTTTCACTCTAGTGACTGATGGTTCAATGGAAGGAAATCCTGACTTTCATTCAAAACAGCTAAAAAATCATCACCGAATTTCCACTACAAGATGCTACAGAGAAACCACAAGGCTTCCTCTTGCCGTTGGTACTGACAGCGCTCGAGCTGTGCTGTGGCCTCGGCTGGAGGCAGGCCGAGGCTCGAGTGTCTGCCTCTTGGCAGCAGTGCGCAGGCCCTGCTCTGACTCAGGGGACGAGGATGCACACAGCAGACCCACGGCACGCCCAAGGCAGGCCGTCAGATCGGTCCCTTCCTCTTATAGTGCCTACGAGTTCACAATCCTTGCAATTTATGCTTTTTAGCTAAAAGTAAAATAAAATACGATGGCATGAATATAGATTTGGTCACATCACAAGTTCAGCAGTATCTGTTCTGCTCAACAAGCTGTGAGGTGGCTTTTCGAATGCCAAGCCTTGACTGCCCACCTGCTTTCGGATGTCAGGTAAATGGCCACGGTATCCCGCAGGGCACAGATTTCAAGTCTTGCCTACAGACAGAAGGAGAACACAGTTATCAAGGGGAAAACGTGTTAGTTGTCACACACTAGCAAGGCAGGAGGGGCACAGCTTCCCTTGGGCTGTGGGACCCAGCCGGCAAACCACCACCACTCTCGGTCACAAACATACTTGGTACAACAACCCAAAGGAAATTGTCATGGTCTTAGGCAGCAAGTTCAGGGCTTGGAAACCACACTTCCCATCACCTATGTAATCCTTTCTGCCCACTTGTGCATCAAATGACACTCACCAACCATCACCTGGAACCTGAGAGTGGGCAGTATTGCATTAGTGTTTTTGTAAGAAAGCTGGCAAGTTCTTTTAAGACATGTTAAGGGCCTCATGCAGTGGCCCAGCGGCTAAAGTCCTTACCTTGTACATGCTGGGATCCCATTGGGTGCCAGTTTTAATCCCGGCAGCCCAGCATCCCATTCAGCTCCCTGCTTGTGGCCTAGGAAAGCAGTCAAGAACGGCCCAAAGCCTTGGGATCCTGCACCCGCATGGGATACCCAGAAAAGCTCCTGGCTCCTGGCTTTGGATCAGCACAGCATTGGCCCTTGTGGACACTTGGGGAATGAAACATCGGACAGAAGATCTTCCTCTCTATATATAGATCTGACTTTGCAATAATACACAAACAAATAAATAAAGGATAACTTGTACATTTTTCCCATTTTGTTGGCTGCCACTGCATGCTGTCTCTATCGCCACACAGAAGCTTCTTAGCTTGATGTAATCCCACTTTTCTCTGCGTTTCTTTTATTTTTTAAGATTAATTTTAAAATTTTTATTGGAAAGTCAGATGTACAGAGAGGAGGGGAAATAGAGAGGAAGCTCTTCCATCCGATGATTCACTCCCCAAGCAGCTGCAATGGCCAGAGCTGAGCCAATCTGAGATCAGGCATGTTCAGGGTGGTACGGCTGTAGACGACAACTAGAGCTGAGCCAATCTGAAGCCAGGAGCCCAGAGTCTCTTTCAGGTCTCCCACACGGGTGCAAGGTCCCAAGGCTTTGGGCCATCCTTGACTGCTTTCTTAGGCCACAAGCAGGGAGCTGGATGGGAAGCGGGGCTGCCGGGATTAGAACCGGCACCCATATGGGATTCCAGCATGTGTTAGGCGAGGACGTTAGCCACTAGGCTACTGCGCCGGGCTGTTTTTGCTTTTCTTGCCTGTGACCCTTTGTAGGACATCTTTGTCCTAGTTGACGTCATGCAGCACTTCCCCTATGTTTCCTCTACTCGCTGGGTGAATCAGGACTTAGGCCAGACCCTTGGTGTGCTCTGAGTTCATTCCTGCCTCTGGTGAAAGGGAGGGCTCTTGCTTCATCCTGTGCATGTTCAAATTTCCTAGCACCACGTGTTGAAGAGGCTGTCCTTTTTTCAGGGATCGCTTTAGCTTGCACGTCAAAGCTTAGCTGGCTGTGGCAAGATCTGGGGGAGTTTCTGCTCTGTTTCTTGGTCTGCATGTCTGTTTTCGGTTTAGTAGCGGGATGTTGGGATCACACGTGCCCTGTAATATGTCTTGGGAGTCTGGTAGTGTGAAGCTCTCGGCTTTGCTTTGTTCTTTCAGATTGCTATGGTTTTCTGAGGAATTGTTTTTGGTTGTTGTTATTTCTGTGAAGAATGTCCTTTGGGGTCACACTGAATCTGTACACCGCTTAGGGTAGCATCGACATCCGTGTGATATTAACTATTCCAGTCCATGTACACAGACTTCTCTCATTTTTCTATTTTCTTCTATTTCTTTCATCAAAGCTTTGTAATTTTCATTGCAGATATTCATATCCTTGGTTAAATTCTTCCCAAGGTATCTATAGATCGTTTGTACCTACTGTGAATGAGCCTGACCTAACAAGGCAGGTAAAACTGTCGCCTGTGAGGCTGGCGTCCCATGCGGATACTGGTTTGAGTGCTGGCTGCTCTACTTCTGATCCAGCTTCCTGCTCACGGCCTGGGAAAAGCAGCAGAAGATGGCCCAAGTGCCTGGCCCTCTGCATCTCATGTGGGAGACCCAGACTAAGTTCCTGACTCCTGGCTTCAGCCTGGCCCAACTCCTCCCTTGGGCCACTCTCATCAGGAAGTGAACCAATGGATGGAATCTCTCTCTCTCTCTCTCTCTTCCCCTGTCTGAATTATTCTGACTTTAAATAAGTAAATCTATCTTTAAAGAACTACTACTTATTGCGTCATGAAAGTATTTCTTATCAAATGCTTTCTCTGCATTGACTGGGATACTCATATTAGTTTTTGTCCTTCCTTTTGCTTAGGTGATGCATTTTGCACACAGATTTGCATGCGCTGTGCAGTTGCTGCTTCCCTGGGATAAGCCCCACTTGGTCTATGTGAACGAGCTTTCCGATCCGCTGCTGGACTCAATTTGCTAGCATTTTGGTGAGGCTTTCTGCACGTGTTCATCGGGGACATCGGCGGTTTTCTCTCATTTGGGGCTCACAGTGTTGCTGTTCTCACAGAACGAGTTTGGAAGTGCTATCTCGCTTTCAACAGCGTGGAATGGTGTAAGGACTGGGACTGGTTTTTCCTTAAAAGTTTGGTAGAATTCTGGGGTGAGGCCAAGCAGGCCGGGGTTTTTCTTTGTTGGTAGGTTCTTTACTACTTTATTACAATTTCTATCTTGGCTGTTGGCCTCACCAGGCTTTCTTGGCTCTTATATCTCAATTATCATGTCCTTTCCATTTATTTACCCCAGTATTTTACCATTATAAGAAATTTCAAATAGACTTTGAATGAATTTTTACAGTGAATACCACACGCTCTATCACTAACATGGATGTACGCGAATCCCGCACCTACCCACTGGCCTGGGGCTTAGCTTTGCCGTACTTCAGCAGGCACACCAGCAACTACAGCACGCCAGTCCACGTGCTTTGCTTCGAGTTTGAATGCGTGCACCACAAAAGGGACAAGACTTGAGGAGTACAACCTGACAGATCCTGTGATGGAAACCTGAATCAAGGTGTAGAACCGCAGGCTTTGTGGCTCCCTCGAGCCCATCCCCAGTTAATCTCAGTCACCTGCAGGAAATCGCTGATTCAGGTTTTTCCAGCATGACTGAGCTCTGCTGTCATGTACATGAAACCCACACAGTATGGTGAGGCTCCCTTCACTCAGCATAACGCTGCACGACTCGGCACTGAGGACGGACTGACGTGACGTGGATGCTTCTTCCCTGAATGCGTCTGCTTTGAAATTCCTGTGTGCTAAGTGCCAGGGACTGAGTCACCCTCAGAGCTAGTCTTTCCGGGCAGAAGTGGGTCGGGGTCTCTTTTTTGCTGGTACCATTTGCATTCAGTGACACGAGGTTTGTATCTTAGATGCTGTGAAGGTTATGCTGGGAGACTCTGGATTACGGAGGATGTGTCTGAGGAGTGCTGAGTTGCATGTCACTTAGGGTAAGCTATGGTCTTGTGTGGAATCACACAGAGATTCCCTGGCTTCTGGGCAGAAACAGGATTCTTCCTGTGCTGGCTGCACGGGAGTCCGCCTGGCCTATGAACCAGTGTGGTGTTCTCTCCTTTCCGGGATACCCGCTTCGCCTTCCTGGAGTCAGCCAGAGGAGTTCTACAAGCGGCTGTGTGACTTCTGTGCCTGCTTCCAGACAAGCACCCAGAAGAAGTAGGGAATCCTTCCAAGGGCCATTTCCCGAAGAGTCTCCCACTAACTTGGTTGGCATTCCCAGTGTCGGTTGGTTTCAGACATTACTCAAGCTTACAGGTGCCGTCTGTTGGAGGGGTAGCCATTCCCAATGCTCCCAGCTCACAGGAAAGGTACCAGCAGAGTGCCACCCTCCACCTGTTTGTACACGCGTGGTCATATGCACACAATCCCATCAGCTGGGGCTCAGAGGAGTATCACACATGAACTGGTTGGCAGGGGTTGTTATTTGTTGTAACTATTAACTAAAACAACCAGAATGTCAGAAATGTAGCAAGACTACAAAGAGACAGCCAGGAACTGTTTGTGCACAACTGTATCACACGTTTTGGAAAGAGACTGAACATCAACTGCTAAAAGTTTTCTGTGAAATTGGCTCTAGGGATGAGGATCTAGAAGGCAACGGTAAGGAAGCTGTATTCAATGGGCAAGTGTCTTTAAGGTCTTTAAAAACTGAAGTGGGAGGTTGGAACCCGCAGATGATGTGTTACGGCCAGGGTTTACACAATAAACACAATGGACCCTTCAAAACGGACACCTCTTGTCTCAGATGGGCGACTGAGGAGAAAGGACCATCCGGCAGGGCCGTGGATGCCCAGGGACGCCCAGGTACCTGCAGGGCTCCGTTCTTGCTGAAGGACGACACACACTGCATCAGCCGACTCAGCTCCTCGGACACCGCCTCCACCACCCTCGACAGCACGCGGGGCACCAGCTCTTTGGAAATGGTGAAGACCTGGTGGAAAGTTCAGAATGAGAAGGAACGAAGCTTTGGGGAGGCGCACTTCTGGATTGGGGTACACGCCAAAGACCCATGTTGTGAACACAAGCAGGACAGGGATTTAGACTTGAACCGGACTAGCCGATGCCTGTGCACACCCATCTCTTACAATGTTGGCAGGTGCAACTCCATGCTCATCAACTACAAAGTGGTTTTGGAGATTTCTCTTCCTCTTTTCCAGGCACAAGAAAGCATGATTTTAAAGAAGGAATCACCGAAATCACACCACCCTGGAGGAACGGGCACTCTGGCACCACCCTGGAGGGGCGGGCACTCTGGCTTCGCGCTTCGGATGCCAGCTGGGATGCCCACAGCTGGGCTGGGATCCTGGCACCTCCCTCAATTCCAGCTTGCTGTCAGCGCAGACCCACGGAGCCATCCGGATGACAGGGATGGCGGCTCAAGTGTCTGCCTGCTACCCACGTGGGAGGTCTAGACTGACTTCCTGTCTGACTCCTGGCTTTGCCCATGACTGTAGGGACGGGAGGGTGAGTGGGAGCATTCGTTCTCTGTGACTCTGTGTTCCTCTCACATACATACACACATACATACGTACATATGTACATATACATTCCATTGTGGCAGAGCAAGCAAAGCCGCCTGCATTCCCAACATCCCATCTGGGTGCTAGTTCGAGTGTCGGATGCTCCACTTCCAACCCACCTCCCTTGTGACGTGCCTGGGGAAGCAGTGGAAGATGGCCAGAGTGCCCACGTGGGAGACCCGAAGGAGGCGGCTCCTGGCTTTGCACCGGCTCAGTTCTGGCTGTTGCAGCCATATGGGAAGTGAATCAGCAGATGCAGGATCTCTCTGTAACTCAGCCTTTCAAATAAATAAGTAAATCTATTTTTTTCTTCTGTTGGTGTGTGTGTATAAACACACAGACTCTGAAGGTCTTTGACATCTTCAAGGTTTTACACTTTCGCATTTAGACTTATTATATCTGTAGTTTTCTAAATTAAAATTACATTTTCTTTGTAGATTTTTCCCCTTTCAGATTGAGCCATTAGAATTCAACCAAAGATCAACCCAAATGTTAACTCTGAGGGGCCAGAAAAATGGGGGACAGCTCAAGATGGCCCAGTAAGCAGTAAACACGCTCCCTGCAGCTCTGCTCCATCCCCGGGCCGGACTGGAAGGCGCCTGGAGGGCCTGCCACTGGCACACGGTCTCGTGGCCGTGGCTGCTGGTGGTGGACGAGCAGCACGGCTGCCTGTGTAGGCTGCAGCTTGCTGCTGTCACTGACAATCCCCACACAGCGCACGGCTTCCACCCTCCACTACCGCACCAACAACTTGCACTGCCTGGTCTAGCTCCTAATTTTTACAGGAAGCTAATATCACAGCAATCAGCATGTTTCCATCTGCAAACACACCTAAGAACATTACTCATTGTAAAGAGACCTGGGGGGTAAAATCTGGTCTGATTTAAATTATACACAAGCTTTATTTGTACAGAGTAACGTGTATTCTTCCGTTTTGCTAAGAAATTCAAACTTACAAAATATATTTTTCTTTCTGATCTAAAGCCAGCTCAGGAAATCAGGCAACTCTCTTCTTAATGGCTCGTTGCCCAGGAGCTGGGAACTCAGTGCAGGCCTCGGTCCAGGCACAGGGCCCCGGCACCTGAGCCATCCTTGCTGTCTCCCACACAAACAGTGGGGACTTGTCCCCAGGCACTTCAACACATGACACAGGCGGCCCTAGCCATGCATGACACCCTTCTCTACCTTTCAAGCATTCACGAATTTACGTTTTTTAAAAAACTATAGCTTTCCTTATTTGTTTAAATAATCGGAGTTTCAGAGGGAGAGATCTTCCATCTGCTGGTTCATTCTCCAAATGGCTGTGATGGCCAGAGCTGCACCAGGCCGAAGCCAGGGGCCAAGAGCTTCAGCTAGGCCTCCCGTGTGGGTGTCAGGGATCTGCTGCTTTCCCCAGGCTGTTAGCAAGGAGCTGGATTGGAAGTGGCGCAGTCGTGCTTGAACGGGCAGCTCGTGGGATGCTGGGGTTGTGGCAGTGGCTTTCCTTGCTGTGCCACAGTGCTGGTCACCGATTTACTTTCAGTTACTCACAGTCAAACACGTGCACATGAGAAAGCTGAGCTCTATTTATTTGAAGATACATTCTACCATGAGACTTACATCTCTTCTCCTTCCGTTGTCCTTGTGTATCGGGAACATCTAATGACATCTTACCTCTGCATGCACGGCAGTGATATTCACCAATGCTTCTTTCAAATAGTTTCTGACACCTGCAGTCAAGATGGGGGAGGGGAAAGACAGTGAGCAGGGGCACAGCCCCCTCCTCCTGCTGGCACCAGCTGCACGCGCTGCCGCTGCTGCGTCTGCATTTTTCTAAGGAGAAACGCAAAGGCCCAGCACCCTGTTTCCTTCTGAGAAGCAAGTGGTGGAAGGACTGTTTTCATACAGGTTGAAAGAAAAAAGTCGTGGTGGGGATGGAGAGCGTAAGCTAGGTGTTTTCTTTCATGTTTTTTTTTTTTTCTCATTTCTGTCATTCTTTATGCCGTTTGATCGACTGGCCTCAGAACTACAATTACACTGTAGCCCCTCCATGTCTTCCTCTGTGTGCACAGAACAGACAGAATGCAGAGATCAGAGGGAGGGGGCTTAAGCTCACAGACCTTGGGCTGGGTGTGCGTGAGAGCAGCCCACACCTGAGTGGGACTTTTGGCACTTCAGAACTTGAGCTCTTTTCAGGAGAAAAGTCTGCACAGAACCACGTGGACTCGGACTCTGCAAAGCCAGTGAGAAGATGCTGGAGTTTTGGGAACCTTTCTTCCCTCAGGAAAAGCTTTAAGGGTGCAGAGTCCGAAGTCACAGGCTATTTTGCAATCAAGCCGTTGCAACACCTCTTAGCTGTGTGACTTTTGGCACAAAGAGCACAGCCTCTCTGTATTCTCCTCTAAAATGGGTCTAGCAACTGTATCTTGTCGTGTAGGCGGGCTGCAGTGAGACCCGAAGGACACAGCAGCAAGGGAAGGCTCGGGGTCAGTTCGCTCCATGTTGCTGATGGCAGGTCATGGACAGTAATTGCACATTATACAGAAATTGACACTCGTCCTGGTTGCTAAGTAAGAGGTTTTACCAAGGGGGGAATGTGGGGCGCCTACTCTAAGTGAAAGTGAAATCAACAAACTTGCAGACCAGAGAAGCCGTCTTCCTGTCAGAGGAAAGCCACACCGCACAGAGGTTCCCTTGGTGAGTTCCCTGCTGCAGACCAGCCACGGGGGACCCTGCCCTGCTCCTAGCCCTGGGTGCTGAGCAGCCCTCCAGGGGTGAATGTCAGGCCCATGAGTTCCTGGCCGTTGGGCTCAGGTCCTGGGCCTTTAAAACGGCAAGTCTATGGCAGGTCAGCTTACAGACATGTGCACATATACCACATATCTGTGTACACACATGCACATAAAGTTCATGGCCAAATGAAACCAAGAGAGAAACTTCCTTTGGTGCAAAAAGTTTTTTTTTTTTTTTTTTGAAACTTGTGCATAGTTTGTTCCTTATAAGCATTTTTTGAGGACCTCTCCAGGGGATGTGGATTCAAAAACCTTTTCTCTATACCTTTCAATTCTACTTAGCCATGGGCATCCTGAAGCACCCCTTGTCCCCCGTTGGCGTGTGCATGTGTGGTGAACCCAGGGCCAAACGTCAGGAGTGTAGGCCTCAACACTCTTATAGGAAGGGGGACTGGAAATCGGAAGGCGTTTTCTGACTTTCAAGGTTGTCTGGCGGCAGAGAGCGTAGAGGAGAGGGGTGGAGCGTGCTGACGACCGAGCAGAAGAGCAGCCTTAGCTAACAAGGTAACACAATATCACATGGTTGGGGATGGCACGTTTCAAACTCGACGTCCACTCCGGAGCCAGACAGGACAGAAAACATTTTTCTGCTAAGGCCCCATCTGACCAAGCATTGCCAATAGGGCACCCTTGAGAGAAAGATAATTATTCATTCTAGCTACTTAACGTGACTCCAAGGACATGTGGATATTCAAAATTAGCATGGGACACTGTAAGCCCAAAAAACATGCTTCTATGGATCAAAACATTCAGGCAAAAAAAAAAAAAAACACTCAAAAAACGAAAAACCGAGTTTCTCATTTCCAGCTGTCCATAGACTATGCTCAGATCTTGTCCTGTAAGGAGACATCAGCCTCAACCTTGGACAAGTAAGATGTGCTGTTTGCTGGAGGTGTTTGTCTTTATGAATACAGAGAAAAAGGAAAGAAAACCATTGCCTCTCTCTTGCTGCTAACAGAGCAGCAATAACTGCTTCTGTGAACCTGGGGGGGATGGATGGAGCCGTGGTCCTGGGCAAGTGAGGCTGGAGAATGAACACGGCTGGGAAGGCACATGGCCTGTGGCCGAGCTGGGTGAGCCATGACTTGGTCCTCCACGCTGGCGTCACAACTGAACACAGGCAAGTTTTTAAAGCTTTGCCTATGTATGTATATAGTTTATTATTTGAAAGGCAGAGTGAGAGAGGGGAAAAGAGTGAATCTCCATCCGCTGGTTTACTCCCCAGATGGCTGGAGCAGGGTCAGGCTGAAATCAGAAGTCAGGGGTTTCATCCGGGTCCCACCCACAAGCGCAGGGACCTGAACATTTGGGTTATCTTCTGCTCTATTTCCTGAGCCATTAGGGAACTGGATCGGAAGAGGAACAACTGGAACATGAACTGGTGCTCATTTGGGATGTCGGTGTCGCAGGTGGTACCTTTACCAGCTACGCCACAACCCCAGACACGACACTACAAAATACAGAAAGAAATCACCAATGGCCTCCCCTCTCCCTAAAGCTGTCCACTGCTTTGGATGCAGGAGTATCTTATTGCCCTGTGGGATGAGCTCACTGCTAGCCCTGAGTGAGTGGCTCAAAGGTTTGGTTCCTCCCTGTACATTCATTGAGCAGGGCACACACCAGAGGCAGGAACACACACAGCCCCATAGTTCTAAGACCCTTTCTAAGACCCTAAACCTCTCAGGGACTTACGGCCTGCCTGTTGAGTTTTTGCTGTTTAAAAAATACTACTTAGAGTCTGATGACAGGAGGAGGAGGTCAATTCTTTCAGAAATACCCAGCGATGCCTGTAGCAGCGGTAGTGGCCGTGGCAGGTGTGGCTGGCTCACTCTGCAGGCAGTGGTGGACAACAGTTTTCAGGCAAAGGGCCAAGAAGAGCCGACAATATGGTCCCACACATTGCATGGCCCGGAGGACGTGAGGATTGAAGCTGGGGAAAGCGCACACATCGAACACAAGAGACTCTTCTTATTAACCAATACACTAGAGCAAATATTCCCACAGCATTTGCATGGTATTAGGCATTCTCAGTACTCTGAATATGATTTATAGTATTGAGGAGGATGGGCAGTGGTTATGTGTAAATTCGGTGGCACCACTGGAGTGCCATGGTAGACTTGTGGCCCCTGGGAAATCAGTGGGTCTGGCTTGTCCTGTGGCAAATGCAGTGGGACTTGCGAGTCAGCCCATCCGCAGCAGGCTGATTTTCAAGGTGGTCATTCTGTAGGGCCTTGTGAATGCTGACATCGATATGCAAACGGCCCTGGGCAGGAGAAACACAGGGCAGGGTCCTGCATCCCTGCTCTATAGCATCCACAGGCAGGGAGACCTGCGGGGAGCAGGGGCTCCAACTATCCTTGCACGCTGAGGGAGAATGGTGGATGCTACAGATTTCACAAACAAGAGCTGACCAAGAGCTGACCAGGATTTGGGGATGTTAGGCTGGGTGTGTACTGTGGCCTTTCCCTGTACAGGGATGAGGGTGGATTGAGTACTGGGAGGATTACACTCCAGGGAGACCCTGGTGCTGTTAGAGGAGACCTGAACTGCAGAGGCCTTGCAGGAAGTAGAATAAAGCAGGGCGTTAAGTTCTCAAGGCCCTTAGTGAGTGTGGTAGTGCCAGGTTGGGCACAGGCCCAGAACTTGATTGCTTGGTTATGGCACCTTTTTGATTTATTTGGAAAGCAAGTGAGACAGAGGGATGTCCCATCTTGCTAACTCATCTCCCTAAATGGCCGTAAAAGCAAGGACTGGCTGAGGATACAAGACAAAGGACATGAGAGCCCATCACTGCGTTGATGCAGCATCTTGCCCCAGCTGTGGAGGTAGAGACCAATCATGGGTCACGCTGTGGGAGAAGGGGACACAGCTCCCTGGAGGATCTGAGTGGTGACACAGGAGCAGCGTCTCAAATACCAGGCGTGGCACGTGTGGGGAGGAACCAGTCCTCGCACCTCTTGTTTACTCATAGCTCACTCTCTGCCAGGTGCATCCTGAGCCTCTCAAAAATATTTGATTTAATAAGTATTAAGTCGGTTGTATAAAGGAGAAACTACACAGAACGGGCTCTGAAACCCGTCCCAAAGCAACACACCGAATGAGCAGCACAGGTGTGAGGTCACAGCCCGATTCTGCTCATTTTACACCTGCACCGCCTCTCGTGGGAGCAGGACGTTCCCTGTCACTCACACATGGCATCCGGCCATGCTCACAGCTCGACACGAGAGGCCCTCTGAGAGTCCAGCTCTGAGAGAGAGGCCCTCTGTGTGCGCGTTGACTGGGCACACCACTTCCCAGTCCTCCTGTCGCACTCGGGTTGCCTGCATTCTGACCTTCAAACCCAGGTGGTAAGTGGTTCCCAGACTACTCCGAGGGATCAGCCAACTGCACTGGATGCCAGCGACAGCAGCGGATATGATCACATCGTCAAACAGGCATAGCATGGGTGTCACGAAGAAACCTGCATGCTTTTATCCAGTCATCTCATCTTTCAGCAAATTATTTTTATTAAAAAAAAAATGAGCACGTGAAATCTGTATGCTGAAGTGGCACAGGCCCCTTCCCAGTGTACTCTGACGAGGCCAGGCAGGCTGGGCTTGGGGGTGTCACTTCTGTTACGCTCAGTTTCACACCCCACCTCCTGGGGGTGTCTGGCACAGGATAGAGTCACAGTCGGCATTTGAAGAATGAGGGAGATAAACACAGCACACCTCGGGTCTGTAGAACACTTTTGCTGGTCTCCACATTCCACATCAGAGACAGTGTGGGAAAAGTGGGCTGAGCTTCCTAAGGTCTTGTAATCACAGCTGCCTTTTTTTTTTTTTGTCACCTCCCTCAGCTTTCTGGGCACTCAGCAGCCATTAATGGGAATAATATTAAAATCAGAGTGAAGTGCAGCGTGAAGAGAATCAACACACACCGTTACAATGATCTACAGT